TTCAAATGCACAGTTCAAAACCAAAAAAAAGTGAGTGCCCGTTGCAAAAACTCGCAAATTTTGTGCGCAGTGCGGGCCGCGACAAATGTCCAGGCGCTTTGTGAAAATACTAATAGGTTGCGCCTTGCAAAACGACTGAGATTTTTTATTCGAAAGTCGGAAGAAAATGCGACAGTTTTGGCGAATCTTGAAATATTTCGTACTTAACTCTGCCGTAGAATGTAGTAATTTTTCAATCAAAAAATCAATTTTTACTGCACTGCCGGCAATCATATGGCCAAAAAATTGCATTCCTCTCCTCTCCGCGGTCTTGGCGGCGAAAATTGTTGCATATCAGTCTGTCGGGAAAATAATGTGGATTTCTCGCAGCAAAATTTGTTGCTTTAAAAAAGCGCTAAATCGCTAGCCGTGGCGAGCCATAGCAAAACAATGATGGGCGATCCAAGGCGCGACAAATCCACATTGTCTTCCCGACAGTTATATCTGGGTTGTGACTGTAAAGCTCGAGCTAAAACTTTCAGCATTACAATGTCGCCCACGCCCAAAGTGTTCGCAAAACCCAAAAAAGACTCTAGCGTCGCACTTGGGACCTGTTAATAATCCTTGTCAATGCTTTACAGACGTGTATTTATATTCCGTCGCAGCTCATATTATCAGGATCTCCTTCCGGCTCATGCAGCCGGAAAGTGACTCTGATCTCCTCTTTTAGCCTCAAATCCAGGAAATGCGGAAGTTGGAGGCGAAGATAAGTGTTCTCTGTTTCCGCTCAATCCACATATTGAACATATTAATACATATGTATCTGATAGAAAATTGGGAATACCTGTTTTGGGCAAATCCCCCGCCATGAGGAAAGATAGAAATCTCTTCAAGCAAACTCTGGGAAATCTACTAATCACCGACCCGTTCTATCTTTTAAGACGGAAGTCGCACATGTCCGATGTCTCAATATACACAATCTTGAAGATGTCAAAATTTCGGTGCTATGACTTTCCGGGTCAGCATAGAGGTGGCAATCGGGCTGGGCCGGCCCGGCCCGGCCCGGCCGGGCCCGGTGATTGGGCCGGGCCGGGCCGGGCCTGAGCAGATTTGAAAAAGCCCTGGGCCGGCCTGATCGCTTCGGCCCGCGGGCCGGGCCGACACTTTCGGCCCGGCCCGGCCCGGAAGGTAGATAAGTAAAAAATTTTTAACGCTAAACCGGCAAAATAAAGTACAAATGCTTTGTAGAATGGATGGAAATTAGATTAAACCTTTTTTGACTTCTACGCTGTTTTACTACCCTTTAAAATTATGTATGTGTAACTTATTATGTATATGTAAAATCCCACCCAAATATGTAAGGGTCGGGCAAAAGTCTTCGAATTTTTTTATGATAAATTTAAAAATTTCACTGTAATTTTGAATCCTCGATGTAAATAAAAGTGTTTAACCAGTTTTTGGTTAACCACGTCCATAATTTTATATAGCTAACTTCCTATAGGATTAAAAAATTCAACACAATCCAACTTTTTGGCTAGATTTTAGCTACCTGTACGGATGTTCCAGTCATCCGACTAGACTTTTTAATCTCACGTAGACACACGTAAAAACCTTCTGGAAAGCATAAGAACTTCCAGTAGAAAGTGTAAAGACTTTTATCCAACTTTTCTGTATTAGCGGGCCAAACCGGGCCGGGCCGGGCCGGCCTGGGCTTTCACCGGGCCGGGCCGGGCCGGGCCTGAGCAAATTTGAAAAAGCCCTGGGCCGGCCTGGTCAATTCGGCCCGCGGGCCGGGCCGCAAAAATCGGCCCGGCCCGGCCCGATTGCCACCTCTAGGTCAGCAATAGTTCGGGTCAACAAAACTATGGACCGCGCCGTTTCGTCGTGAAGGGCTATGAGAAGGCTTAGTGTCTTGAAATAATAAGATTGATTGGGCCTAGGATAACTTATCATCTATTTCGAGGTATTTTATATCTACTCACATCAATAATGTCTAGATAAAAGTTGCGGATCTTCATTTTTTGCCGCAAATTTTTGTTTTTTTGTTTACTCCATTTCAAAATTATAGACACGCCTATAAAATATGCGATTGCGGTGTCGGAGTTCTTCGGTTGACAGATACGAAACCTCTACAGCTTGAAAAAAGGAAAAACTTTAAAAACCTACACCAAAAAAATAATTTTTTTATTGCACTGTCTGTAATTGCATTATGCACAAAAGATTTTCCAAATTTTGGGTGTTTCAAAATGATAGACACGGCTGCTATTTTTGCTAAAGAACTTGCGAATGCGGGCCACATAGGGCCTGAAATTATTAGCATGACCGTATTGTGTGACAATAACTCAGGGTAATGAAAACAAACGTTTGTATGGCTAAAATTAGAAAAGGCGGACACATTGCAAGCCTTCGCCAGGTCTCCGCTAAGTCTCCGCCAAGCTTTCGTCGACCATTCAGCGGCTTTTCCAGGCCTTGTAGGCACTTCCTACAACCCTTTTTTGGGCATGCATCAGCCCTATCATTCGATCTTACCGCTTCTCGAACTATCGTCCACCTAAACAACAAAACACCTTGAAACTAGCAGGCTGAAAAACTACAGTACATAACCACCCTTTGTAGCCGCGTATTGTGTTTTTTTTCGCCTCTAATCGTAAGTAAAATAAAATTACCGGCCGAGCTCTAAAAATAAGCTTACGAAAGAGAAAAAAGGAAGGAAATTAGCTAAACATCGAGTTTGTCCGAAACTTTTAACCAAACTAGATTACTCCGACTACATTGTATTTTGTAGTCGTATATGTGACATCAGCTTTTGATGGGAACAACAAGCGGTTGATCCCGGAAACGAGGGAGATTTGGTCTGTGGAGAGCGTGGGAGACTCTCATAGAAAGGTGCCAACAGAACCGGTGTAAACGTACTATGAGGGAAGACACAACATACATACAAGGAAATATGGTAAGGCATTATTGTTGTCGGGAAAATAATGAGCATTCGGTCGAAAATCGCAAGGGGGCCGAGAAAATGAATTGTCGTGGCGAAAAAATTGCTTTTCAATTCAGCAATGGGCACAGCGACATTGTGCTCATTATTTTCCCGACGGACTGAAGTTGGCGCTTTGCAAAAACCACAAGTTAGCCCAAAAAAAGCTTATTGCAGGGTAAAAAAGAAAAACATTGCTCACAGAGGAAGTACACCAATGCGACGCTCAGATTTTGATGAAACATGGCACAAATTTAGAATATTTTTTTCTAAAATATATGCGAGAATCCTAGCTCGCGCTTTGCAGAAACAACCGAGATTTTTGGATCGAAAGTCGGCGAAAATTTAGGACTTTTTCCCGAATTTCGGTACGAAAAGTTTCATGCCTATTTGTATCGTAGAGGATAATGTTTCTACAAAAAATCAATTTTTTCCGCACGAAACTGCCAAAGTTATGGCCAAAAAGCGCTGACCGCCCTCCACGTTTAGCGTGCTCTCTCGGCGGCAAAAATCGTTCGAAATCTCGGCGGCGCCCGCAAAGCGCGAGTTAAAACTTTCAGGAATTGATATTTAGTCCATACCCGACGTGTGTGCAAAATTTAAGGGAAATCTGAGCGTCGCACTTGGGGTACTTCCCCTGTCAGTGAAAAAAAACTTTTTTCGCAGCGCGTGTCGTCGATTTCAGTTTGGCGACTCTCCGGAAAGACTAGTACTTTTATGGCTATTTCCACCGTAGATCCAACGCCTTCGCAGGAAATCGTTTGTCCGCACAAAACACTGTCTAAACGCTATTCATCTTTAGCGTGCCCTCTCGGCCGTGAAGATCGCTAGAATAGCGATCTTTGCAGTTCATTTTCCCGACAAACTGATAATTCCCCCACCAAAAAATCCGACAATTTGTCTGCCCCAAAATACCACCCTTCCAAATACGGCCTCTTCCCGCAAATCTTTCCTGTGCAAATAGTAATTTATCAACGATTTTGCGCCGCAAAACAAGCGAACATTGCACTTTGGCGAACCTCACAATCCCCGAATTTCACAGCGAGAGACCGTAAATAGTCTTGTTTACTCGCTGCGAACGGATGATTTACAAAGATTGTAGTGTTACGTTGAAATTACGGCAGCAAGTGAATGAGGTCGTTAGCAGACGTTTTTGCCGATTTTTAAACCTTTTAAAGTTCAACATGTGCATCGTTGCAAAATGGCCTTGTCGATGAAGAGGTTGACCCGGAAAAACGGCGTTCCTGGAAGGATGAAAGTGCAGAAGAAATTTCATCATGGGTGAAAAGGGATGACAAATAAGTTCAGTGTTGTTTACCATGATAGTACTAAAGTTCATTGATATGCAAATATAGTCTTTGGTCACTTCCAAAGTATAGATATTATCAGTCTGTCGGGAAAATAATGTGGATTTGTCGCAGAAAAATGCCTCGCGTCGTCGCCAGGTGGGCTAGCTGTCAGAAGGCGATGAGGGGCGACTCGAAACCGAGACGAATCCACATTATTTTCCCGACAGACTGCTATTAATACTTAGGTAAAAGTTCCTCATTTTGGCCACAACTTATAACTTTGCGGAAACTGGTCGGAATTAGCCCAAATTTAGCGTGCACGCTCAATTCATCGTTGTCAATGCCCGGACAGCGGATTTAGTTAGTGAGGTACCCTCTTTTTTACGTACCACCTTACCCTTCAAAAACGGCTGCAGCCTGTGATTTTACACTTTATACGATGAAACATGTCCGGAACTAAACTTATTGCCTCCGTATGGAACTAAATGAGTCGTCACAGCCTTCGTAGGTACCCTTAAAACTATAGAGCTATTATAGTAATCCAGTGCCAGCTAGGTCGAAGCGTTTTTTCGTAACTTTAGTGTCCAAGCTTGGGCGCAGTTCGCGGAGTACCTTTGTTGTTGCCAAAATAAGGAACTTTTTCCGCAACTCAAAACCGCGACGAATCCACATTATTTTCCCGACAGACCGCTATTACTTGTAGGTAGAGCACAAGGGGACATCTAGCGTATTTTACAAACAATTTATTTCTTTATTTCCTATCTCTTGCGGAGGAAAAAGTAAATCCCGCCGTACGGGTTGAAGACGCTCGGATCATAGGGTTTGGCGGGTTGTCGATAGCAATAACATTCCATTGTTTTCCGGAGCCCAAGTCGAGTGGGGTAGTTGGGGCGGCTGAAGCGGAGTTCGCGACGTCTTCGCGGCTGAAAAATTGAAGGATAATGTAGAAAATGACAAAATAAAACAGTCAAACTGATGATATCTCACATTATAAGGGTATTTGATGACTTTTCCGAGATTATTCACAAATCTGATGGCTCTTTTGGCAATTTCTCGTTTATCCGGACCCTGGATTCTGCAACATTTGGGCTTCTGAAAAATGACGTCATCTGGAGTCATTTTCATTTTGGTAAGTTGGGCGCAGCTCGCCGGTTTTTTTTACAAATTTAAACAACAAAAAAAAATCTTTTTTTATTTTTTTGAAAATTTCATAATGAAATGGTAAAAAATCGAGCCAAGAATGCCAGCAAAAATAAAAAATTTTTTCTCAGGCTGCGCCCGAGCCTTAGTTTAAAATTTTTGCATGGCGAAATGAGACGTGGCTCGGGCGCAGCTCGGCTATTGAAGAGTAAAAAATCAGTTTGCAAAACTTTTCTAGGATTCTTTTTCGAGCTGCGCCCGAGCATTCTTAGCCAATTTTTAGGGTAAAAAGAAAAAAATTATGCGTTTTCGAAAAAAATATTTCCTTACCCTCTTACAACTTTTTGACCTGGTTCGATTCCAATCGGATGTCTCTTCATTTTCCATTCTCTCTCCTTCATGACTTTCCTCCTCCTTCGAACATTCTTCATCCGAATATTCATCTTCTTCACTTGACGAGAACGCGGTCGGCGCACTGTAGTCACTTACTGTAGTCCGAGTCAACAAAGTTCTGCGGAATAAACGGAATTATATTGGGAAAAATAAAAATAAAAATAAAAAAAATAAAAAAAAAGAAAAAAAAATAAAAACATAATAAAAAAATTAAAAAATGATAAATAAAATGAAAAAAATTAAAAAAATCAAAAAAATCAAAAATAAAAAAAATAATAAAAAAATCAAAAATAAAAAAAATAAAAAAAATAATAAAAAAATGAAAAAATAAAAAATTTAAAAAAAAAATTTTTAAAAGCTTTAAAAAATCAAAAATAAATAAAAAAAAGTTTCAGAAAAACATACGAAATCCAGCCGGTGGACCCAGTGCTGAAATCCATTAGATCACAGAGAGAATCCGTACTCTCCGATCCCGAGTGGAACAAGGACATGGGAAACCTTTGACGGAATCGTTGGGCCAATTTCCGGAGCGACCAATTTTTTAAAAATTTCATGAAGGAACATGAGAAAAGAAATTTTGGATAGAATAAAATTGAATAAAATTTGCATAAAAAATTGCTTTTTTCTTTTTGATTTTTAAAATTTTTCAAAATTTTTTTAATTTTCAATTTTTTTTAATTTTTTTCATTTTTTAAATTCTAAAATTTTTTTTATTTTCTAAATTTTTTGTATTTTTTTTGTTTGATTTTTGAAATTTTTAATTTTTTTTTATTTTCTAATTTTTTTATTTTTTTTGATTTTCCACATCTTTTTCAAAAATCTTTTTATTTCCTCCAAAATTCAGAAAATATTATCCTAAACGAACGGTAGGCAAAGCTGAAGCAGCAACAAATATTATGCGATTTTTCCGTATTTGGCGTACGGTCTGTTACGCATTTGCACCCTTCGTGCCACTCTTCCATCGACCAGTTATCGGGGTTGCAGACGAATGCAAGGTGGACTGGGGTGATTTTGGAGGCGGAAAGTTGGGGATTCGTCTCGGAGTCATAGTTGTTGGTGGTGAAGACGTCTGCAAATATAGAAAAGAATTTTTTTGCTGAAAAATAAAAAAAAAATCAAAAAATTTTAAAATTTTTTGCCTAATGGTAGGGCGCAGCTTGGTAAATATCGGAATAAATCTTTTTGTTATTCCCAAGCTGCGCCCTGGGCCCGTCTGGCTCGACAAAAGAAAAAAATTTTCAGAGAATTTTCGGACTTGAAATTGGTATTAGCGCTAAAAAAAATATTTTTCCAAGCTGCGCCCGAGCCATAACTTAAATCTTTTTTCTTGACAACTCACCTTCTTCCACCATCTCCATAGTGTCCGCATCCTGCACAAAATAGCAATAGGCACTGGCGTACATATCGACCACCTTTTTTCTGTCAATTTTTCGCCCCGGAAAACACGAGGAGTGAATCTAAAGCATAGTGAATACAAAGCAAAGCGTAATTTAGCTTACAATAGCCGTTGAGGTCAGCAGATTCTTCTCATTCTCCTTTTCGGCGCCTTCCAAGATCTCTTCTTTCAATAATTCCGTGGGGTTCGTATAGCAGTCTTCTTGGGTGCCAATGCATGTGCATTTCAATAAATGGACGCTGAAAATACGACAAGGTCAGAGAGTTAACAAAAAAAACTACGCACTTTCTGCATCTTATTAACCAAAAATCACAGCTTATTGAAAGCTCGGGCGCAGCTGGGAAAAATTACATAAAAAATTATGTTGAGAAACGGATGTTCTTCCAGACGAAAAAAATAAAAAAAACTATTTTTTTTAATCAAGAACCCTTATTTTTCGCCAAAAAATCCCTTTCCAAGCTGCGCCCGAGCCTTAGCTTGCGTTAGGCGTAATTTTACCCGTTGCGGCATAGCTCTCCCCCTTTTTGAACACTCCCCCTCATTTTGAAAATTAAAAAAATGAGGTGTCACATGTTAAACGATGAATTTTTTTTTTCAAATTGAATAAAATTAGGTGTGACATCTTACCGTCATCGTATGACATGTCACACCTCATTTTTCTCACACACCTCATTTTTCTCAATTTGAAAAAAAACTTTCCATCGAATAACATGTCACACCTAATTTTTCTCTTTGAAAAAAAATTTCATCGTATAACATGTCATACCCAATTTTTCTCAATTTGAAAAAAAACTTTCCATCGTATAACATGTCACACCAAATTTTTTTCAATTTGAAAAAAATTTTCATCGTATAACATGTCATACCCAATTTTTCTCAATTTGAAAAAAAACTTTCCATCGTATAACATGTCACACCAAATTTTTTTCAATTTGAAAAAAATTTTCATCGTATAACATGTCACGCCTTATTCTTTTCAATTTGAAAAAAAAATTCATCTTATAATATGTCACACCCAATTTTTTCAAGTTGAAAAAAATTTTCATCGTATAACATGTCACACCCCGTTTTTTCAATTTTTAAAATGGGGGAGTATTCAAAAAGGGGGAGAGTTCAGGCTCAACCCATTTTACCCACTTTTTCTGATCCTCACGCAAAAAGAAGCACCGATTTGGAACGATCACCTCTCGGAAGTCATCCTGAATCACGGCCCAGATGTTCTTTCCCTCCAATACGGTGAGTTTTGTGCTTCCGGAGGCGGTGGAGCGCTCGATAAGATATTCGCAGGCAATGGCGTTCCCTTTTTTCTCCGTAGAGTTCATACAAATCCGCTGTTGACTGAGTAGCTGCAATCAAAAATATGTGCGTTTCTTGGTCAAGAATTTCATATCCCAAAATTTATCTCAAAAATTTCCTCCAACAACTACCTTTTTCCTATTCTCCTCGATCGGCTTCGTCAAATCGAAATTACACGTAATCTCCCTGCCATAAGTCTTGATTCCAAACACCTCGGCTTGACGTATCGTTGCGCTTTTGCACTCGCCTTTCCGCACATTCCGCGCCTCCATCGGGCTGAACTCGAGCACCGGATTGTATCGGAACACACAGTGGTCTGTCCCATTCGGGGGTGGGATCGTTTCGTTCAAGAGGGCGGTATTGTAATCGAAGCATGTGTCGTTGTTCGCGACAATTTGAACGACGGATCTGCGGAAGACTTTCAAAGGGTTGTTCTCCATCAGGCAGCACTTCTGAAACGGAAGGAAATCGAGATTTCTTTGAGTAGAAATCTGTCAGGAAAATAATGTGGATTTGTCGGGAAAATAATGTGGATCACCCATCATCGCTTTTCGACAGCTTGCGGCTGCTGGGAATTTACTGCGACAAATCCACATTATTTTCCCGACAGGTCAATATCAGCCTGTCGGGAAAATAATGTGGATTCCTCGCGACTTGAAATCACCCATCATCGCTATGCCTTAAGGCAAAAAAAATTTCGACGACAAATCCACATTATTTTCCCGACAGGCTCCGCTTTTTCAAAAGTGGCTGAAGTGTTTGTCGCAGAGTCGAGGCAATTTTGCACAGTGCAAAATGGTTCAAAATCGCCAAAAACCCCCGTCCGTGCATTTGTCATTTTGCACTGTGCAACCGCAACATCGCGCGACAAAAGTCATTTTCATTTTCAACCGAGTCGCTGCGACATTTCTGAAGCGATTTCGCGCAATGAGTCAAAATGCACGGTGCAAAATATGCGAAAAGCGCGCACCGTGCAAAAAATGGTAGAACGCACTGTGCGCTGAGAATTTTGCGGGCCCGACAGATGATTTCACAGTGCAAAACGGCTGAAGATGACTCGCGCGCAGTGCAAAAAGAAAAAAAATTCACAGTGTACGCGGGAGAAAAAAAAAGTTTACGCACTCTCGAAAAAGCGTAGAATCGGTCTGTCGGGAAAATAATGAGCCCTCTGTCGCATCCAAAACTCGCATAGCTGCCGAAAAAATGAATTGTGTCGCGACAAAATCAAATTTTTTTAATCTTCAGCGACGCGATTGGCGCAACGACATTGTTCTCATTATTTTCCCGACAGACTGACAAATGGGAAATCAATGTCAAAAATGAAAATTTCCCCCACCTCTCGACCTTTGATCCAGCAGCCTTCCACAAAACATTCTTTCCCAAAATTTCGATTCATGGCTTCCATCTCCGAATGTTTTTCTTCGATGAATCGAATGCTGGTCGTCTAAAATATCGGTCAGACCTGGAGCCGCTTACTTTGCCTCCAAAATCACGTCTCAAAACTCGTTCTGATACGGCATGGAAGATCGGGTGGTCAGAGGAGTCTGAAACATAACAGTCAGTAACCTGAATAGGCCAAAAAAGCTTGTATGAAGTGCCCGCGAAGCCTGGAAATGCCGTTGGATTGTTGGCGGACGCTCGGCGAAGGCTCGACGAGCGTGACTTCTACAGGCTTTATGGATCGACAGTGCTCATCTTGAAGGGTGTAATTTGAACACGCCCTTTCCAAATTACTTACTAGACTCGACTATATGGATGTTGGCCACTCCTTCAACCGCCATTCTAGCATAAAGCGAAATGTTTTCCGCCTTCACGAGCTCGTAGTTGTATTCCCTGCGTTTGACCATCCCTCGGAACCGTTGTCTGTCCAGTGGCGGCTCCAAGCTGAGCAGAGCATACACCTTATTTTGGTAGAGGCTCTCGGAAAGGAGCTGGAGACACTTATTCTTGCATTCCTCACCTACCGTTGTTGAATTACTACTAACACTCTTCAAATATTTAATGGACTCGCCAAGTCCGGTTGCAAATGCTTCGTCTGGAATAGCCTGCTTGACCTTGTCGGGTAAAGTTTCATTGTCCAATTGGAATACCGTAGCCTCCTAAATAAAAAAATGGAAGGCCACATGCAGTTGTCATCAAAACTGTCAGTCTGTCGGGAAGATAATGTGGGTTCGTCGCGAACATCATCGGTTGGGGACTGCAGGTTTGATATGCGGCTACGACGAGACATTTTGCTGCGCCTAAGCCACATTATTTCCCCGACAGACTGACATGATATTTTCACGTACCGATGCATCATCGCTCAGTACAATCAGGGCTCCAGTGTAGCAGTAAACTGAGCCATTTTCACGTGGAATCTGAAAGAAATTTGTAGGTTTGTTTGAGCTTAGCAAAGAGATTCATATACGTCGTAAAACAAATAATTGAAATTTGTGCCCAACGTCATCAAAAGCACTTAGAGCGCGGTGTAAGGTTCTAGACTTCTGCCCATTCTCCAAAAAAAAGGATTTTTCCAAATTGCGCCCAGGTTTTAGTTTAAAGTTTTTTATGTTTCAGGCGATTTTTTGGGGACTACTGTGCGCCGCAAGAAAAAGTCTAATACGTTTTAATGAACGACTATAATCATGACAGATAGAACTCAGTAATTCTCCGAACATAGCCTCGAACTGGTAATTTTGCCGCTTAGGCATCAGTCCTAAAAAGGGGAAGTTGATCCAGTGGCAAAAAACGTACCAGTTTGCATCCCGGAAGTATCAAAAAATGTGGCAAGATACCTCCCTCTCCAAGCGAAAAAGCTCAGATTTCAAAAGCGCGCCCGCTCTTTTTGAGAGGGAAAAGAGCGCGCGCTTTTAAAACGAGGTTTTTTCACTTGGAGAGGGAAGCATTTTGTCACATTTTCGATACTTCCCGAATGCAAAATCGTGCGTTTTTTGCCACTAGATCAGGTCCGCATGTCGCGCGGAAAACCAAATTTTTTTCACTTCGGCTACGCGATCGGCGCAGCGAGATTGTCCTAAGAAGGGGGATTTGATCCAGTAGCAAAAAACGTACCATTTGGCATCCCGGAAGAATCAAAAAATGTGGCAAAATACCTCCCTCTCCAAGTGAAAAACTCCGATTTCAAAAGCGCGACGGATTTTTTTGAAGGGAAAAAGGGCACTTTTGAAAATTTATATTTAGACTGCCCCTTTTTTTCAACTATTATATATAGGCGAAACATTTCGCTACGACAACCCGCCACTATTTTCCCGATAAACTTAGGCATGGCTCCGGGCCGGGCTTTGCAAAATTTTCCGGCCCGGGCCGGGCCGACTAATTTCTCGGCCCGGCTCCGGGCTTCGATTTTCAGGCCCGGCCCGCCCCGGGCCGGCCCGGTTTTTTTGAAATTTGAGTTTTGCCCGGAAAAAAGGAAAAAATAAGCTTTTACGATAGGATTTTTCATTTTTTCGAACACAATGCTAATAGCGAACGTAAAGTGACCGTATGTACCTAGGTTTTGCTAAATTTTTCTTTACATTTTGCGAAAATTTGCCATAATTTTCTTTTCATTTCCCGCTTTCTTTCTTTCCAACCTAGTATAAAATTTTCCGGGCCGAACCGGGCCGGGCTTTCCAAATTTCCCAAACCCGGGCCCGGTGGCCCGGTTTGCAGCCATGCTTAGATAAACTCATAAGATAACTCACCGGTCGCCCTGCAATATCCAAGCACCACGTTTCATTAACATCCATTAACCGATGATACGGCAAATGGGCGACCATCGCGTGGAACTGTGCCTCAATGTCTTGATCGGAACGCACGTAGACATTTGTAAATCCAAGAAAGCAGACGACGAAAACAAACGACCGCATGGGAAAGGTAACAGGTTGAAATGAGGCGCTCAAGGAGCGGAATTCGAAGCGAAAGTGCACTGGACCTTAGCACCGTGCAAAATCAAGTTTTTTCCGACAGTACGTGTCGCCCAATTCATTCCAGTGATTTGACGGAATGGAGAATCAGTCTGTCTGGAAAATGATGTTGATTTATCGCGCGTTAGAATCGCCGATCTTGGCCTTGCGACGGCTAGCCGTGGCTGGTGATTTGGCAAGCGACAAGGCGAGATAATTTGTCGCGACAACTCCACATCATCTTCCAGACAGACTGATGTCAATCTGTCTGGAAAAGAATGAAAAAAATCGTCGCTGCAGCGGTAAAATGGCTCCGCGCGGCACGAAACGCATCGATAAGAAGAATGAGCCTTTGCCTGTTCCGCAGCGACGCTAATTTTTCTGTGCCGCAAGGGCAACAAGTGGTGCCGTCGTAAGACATTTGCGGCATCGACAAATGTATGATTGTTCGCGACAGCGCTCCGCTTATCGTTGTCGAGATGAATGACACATTTCTTTTTAGACAGACTGATGGTATCATTCTGTCGGGAAAATAACAAACACTGCCGCATCCAAAAACGCATCACTAAAATGAAATGTGTCGCGGCATAATCAAATTGCTTTTCACGTCAGCGAAATGATCGGATCAGCGACACGGCGCTCATTATTTTCTCGACAGACTGATAAGCCGCCCTTTTTGTGAGGGAAAGGTAAGGTAGTTCATTATTTGGAGAGTAAGGCCCCATTTTGCGGAATTCCGGGTCCTTCTTGGATACAAATTGGCACGTCTTTTGGTCACTGGAACATTTGCACCATTATATCAGTGTGTCGGGAAAATAACGGCGGATCCTCACAGCCCTAGCCCTTCCCTGCCCTTCCCTTGTCAGCTAGAAACAAAAAAGTGACTGTATTTGATAACAGTCTGTCTGGAAAATGATGTGGATTCGTCGCGCCTTCAAATCGGCCATCATTGCTTTGCGACGGCGGCCGCGGCTGGGGATTTGGTGCGGACTTCGATGAATAGAGACATTTTGCTACGACAGATCCACATTATTTTCCCGGCAGACTGTTAGAGACGGCGACGAGACCTGGACAAATGGCCGCCTGCGGGCTTTGCACTGACTCGACTCTGTATCTCATTGCCCTTTTTTTTACATTCCTGATCCTTCTTGGGAAATGGTCCCTCAAGAACCTCCAACAATAGTACACTTCCTCCAAGACTTCAAATGGGCTTAACCCATCCATCAAAAGTGAATGAACATTCATCCGTATTTCAACAGACATCCTACATTTTCGCGAACAAATCCCAACGCACACCTCCAAATCCGGCTGAATTAATTTTCGAATTGAATGGACGGATTACCTGGAAGACGTTAAGTCGACCCCAATGTCATTGCTTCGTGCATTTCAAGTACAGTAACTTTCTCTATATTTGGAGTTGCGGCCGAAGATGGCAGCCATAACTCAGCGGTCCTGGAGAAAAGAAGGGATTAATTGCTGAGGCTCGCGCGACGATTCCGTCGGGGTTTTGGTGACGATGTTTGATGGGACGGGTCTTGTTTTTCACGTATGCTAGTCGTTCCAGAAAGTGCGTGGACTTTTTTCGTGGGCCGCGCCGTGCACGAAACCTCTTTTTCGGTGTGCATTTGTCTAGACTAGACAAACAGTCTTGATAATTTCGCGCATTGCGGGTTTTACGCATTGAATGTCTGAGTGTCACAATAAAGCGTTAAAAATTTGTGTGACGACTGAAAAAGTTCCCAAAAGTCTCCGCCAAATACACTGCTTTCCGCGGTGGGGGAAAAGATTTTTCTTACACGGGAGGTACCCCAAGTGCGACGCTCAGATTTTGATGAAACTTGGCACAAATTAAGAATAATTTTTTCTAAGATATATGCGAGAATCCTAGCTCGCGCTTTGCAGAAACAACCGAGATTTTTAGATCGAAAGTCGGCGAAAATTTAGGAATTTTTGCCGAATTTCGGCACGAAAAGTTTTATGTCTATTTCAACCGTAAAGGATAATGTTTCTGCAAAAAACGAAATTTTTCCGCACGAAACTGCCAAAGTTATGGCCAAAAAGCGCTTTTTTCTCTGACCGCTCTCCGAGTTTAGCGTGCTCTCTCGGCGGCAAAAATGGTTCGATATCTCGGCGGCGCTTTTGGAGTACTTCCTCTGTTAGCTCAAAAACAAGCTTCTGATTTGGTAAAAACTTGGTCAAAGAGGCTTTTGCGTGGTGTTGCGAGAAAAGTTCTCAGAGTTTTCGGATATCTTGACTGACCGCCAAGAAATCGACAAAAACTTTTCGTGGAATTTCTTGAAACCCCTTGTAGTGTCGGGTCGCGCGGCAAAATGTTTCACCTTATCGAAAAAATAGTACCAAATCGCCAGTCGCGCCTAGCCGAAAAGCGATGATGGGCGATTCCAAGGCTCTGTTACTAGTCGCGACATAAAGTCCGTAGAATTTTTCGCGGCCCCCAAATTCCGTCGCGCTCCGAAATGTTGATTTGTCGCTGCGAAAAACGGGAATCGCGCGCGACAATAAGGCAAAATCAACAAAATTGCACAGTGCAAAATGTGTTTTCGGGTGAATGCACAGTGCAAAATGTGTTTTCGGGTGAATGCACAGTGCAAAATGCTTTTTCGGGTTTATGCACAGTGCAGAAAATTCTACGGACTTTATGTCGCGACTAGTATTTTCCCGACCGACTGATATTTTGTGTTGCGTCATATTCTTCAAGGTGCGTCAGAAAACGAGCAAAAACCGCACGGTCAGAAATCATCATGACTTTTGCTTCGGTGTTAGCATTTTCATAAAGTGCATGAACATTTACATTGTGCATTTGCACGGTGAAATTGCCTCAAGTTTCGGGGCGGTGCAATGGAAAAAAGATTGCGTAGCTATATTTGGTTTGAAAAAGCAAATGCCCTTTGCTGTCGACTTTTTTTCTTGCACAGTCGTCCATGCACTTTGCAAAAATGCTAATACCACTCCGTGGGGGAAATGGTGGTCGGTGATGTCCGACTTGGCTCACAGTACAAAACTTGAAATGTTGCCTTGAACCGTTATTTTTAATGAAGTCAACGAAAGGCATGATCCCACGTCCAATTTGATTACCGTTTTTATAGTCCAAGAAACCGTTTTTTTTGCTCGCATGTTAACCCCACTTACTCTATAATCTATAGCCTATACTGCTATACCTCCACGTTGCCGGCAATGGCGTATATTCATTTCTTGGCCTATGTGTTTCAGATGGAAAAGTATTACTTCGACAAGGCCAGCTATGATGACCTCTACAACTGCTCAAGATACACGCCAGAGCAATGGCACGACTTTGGCGTTCCGAACAAGGTCATTGGAGTGCTCTATACGCTGGTGGGCGTCATGTATGAGGTGTTGTATTTCCCGTGTCTGTACACAATGTCATCGTACAAGTTCTTGAAGCTGTCGTGTTACAAGATCATGTTCTTTTTGGGTAAGAAAAGCGTTCTTTTTTTTGAAGACCCACGTCAAACTTGTCGGGAAAATAATGAGCAAAATATCACTGATTTTGTCGCTGAAGTGGAAATAAATTCGATTTTACAATTCATTTTAGCAACATGATTTTCGATGCGACAGAGTGCTCATTATTTTCCCGACAGACTGATAAATCTCCCATAATTTTTTTCAGGAATAATCGACATGGCCTGCATCTTCATCAACTCCATCCTGGCCGGCTACTTTGCCTGGCACGGCAACACTTTCTGCGACCATCAGGAACTCATGTACATTAGTGGCAGCATATCCACCGGGCTGTGGTGTGCCGCCTGCATGGCGTGCATGATGCTGGCGATGAATCGGTGCTGCGACCTGCTGAAGCCCGACTGGATGGAGACCCTGTTCAGCGGGTGGCGGACCTACTTGTGGCTGCTGGCCCCAACCCTGTACGGGTCGTATTTCATCGTGTTCACGCCGCCGTTGATCTTCACGTCCGTCTACGACGGCGCCTTCTTCGACCCGTTCGTGGGGACGCCGATCTCGGACAAAGAGAGGGTAAAGGTTTGTTGCTGTTTTTGAAGGGGTTGACAAGGCTAGAGCAGGGTTAGATTCTTGTTTTTTTTGCTGGAGGTTCGCTGTTACTAGTCGTTCCATAAGTTCCGACTTCGTTTGTTTCTCAATGGAGTCGGCGCGAATTTTGGGCGCACAAAATGAAATTGCACAGTGCAAAATGTTTCGAAAAGGAGTTCGTCGCGCGACATGCACGGTGCGGTCCGAAAAAGGCCGGAAAATGCCTCCGTACTTTTGAAAAAGCGTAATACCATTTTCACAAAGTGCCTGGACATTTTGTCGCGGCGGAACAGGAAAATTGCAAGTGCGAGGCGAAAAAGGCCGAAAAAATCTACGCACTTTCTTGAACGACTTGTATCAGTCTTTCGGGAAAATAATCGGCACTTTGTCGCATCGAAAGTCGCATCGCCGAGAAAATTAATAATGATTCCATATGTATTCCATTTTTTTCAGTTTTATCGACCGTTATATGTACTAGAGTACTTTTTTGGCATTAATTTATCAACCGATTCCTCAGAGGGATGGCCAATTAATTGGCCCAGAGAACACTTTATTTCAGCGCAATTTGCAAAACCACACAGATAATATCGTAAAAGAGATGTATGTTGTGACACTGTGCCCTTGGCATTCAAAGAAAATTAAGTTTTAATCCTTCCTACAAAAGATCTCGTATGTCAAAGGAACTACAAAAATATTAAAGATATCGCAATGTGGCTACAGTATGAATGTGTGCGTTATTTGGGCCAATTTTCGAAATTAACAAAGGTATTTTGATGCATGAGAATGTATTTTAAATTTTTGAAAATGTCTGAGAAAAACTGAGTAATTGGCGACTTCCTGATTGCTCAGTAAAACACTTCCTACTTCCTCTGTCTACCCCTCTTTACAATGCATTTTTTCAGTACACCAGTTGGCCGCATACAATCAACAATGTCATTGTCATCGTGGTCTTGTGCACGGCCTATTCTTGCATCTGCGTCTATGTTTGTATCAAAGCGCGCCCCACAATGGGCGGCCACAGATCCACCGGCATGAATGCGCTGCAAAAACAGGCAAGTACGGATAAATTGCGATATATTCCTCATTATTTTCCCGACTTACCGGGACAAAAAAACAATTTTTAGTGGAATTAACAGAGATATTGACAACACTTTTCCACGTGCTCCCTCAGCGACAAAGATCGTTGAAAAAAATGTAGCCTTTTGTTCGAAAACTTTGTGAATTCTTTGAAAATTCCTTAAAATTTCTTCAAAATTTGTATGTCATTATTCTCTTCGGTTCCTAACTTTTTCTCCAGCCACAATTTCGAGCATTTTAACAATAACTTTCATCAGAAATAACAGTACAAAGTCTCCACGGTAAAGAATACGGTCATAGGGCAACTACAACAATAGTCATCAAGCTTGAAACTATATTGTCGAAACATGTGAAAACAAACAAAAAATTGTTATTCAGCAACAAAATAATAACAATTCAGCGTAAAACATTTGTAGATTATCGCACAAGCCACACTCATTTGTATGCTGATCCTGATCGCGGCAAGTGTTTACGTGCGGATGCAATTCGCTGAAACATCAAGCTACATGGTCATTGTGGGCCAAATCACATGGCAATCCAGTCACGGTGAGTTTCGAAAAGTAAATGGTTTAAAATTCCCGCAAAAAAGTTTAAGAAAACTCAAAAAATCAGCAATTTTTCGCAAAATCTATGGCATGAAATTTTCCAAGAACTCCACGATTTCGCTAGAATCATGGGAAATTGTAGCAGGATGTTGTCAAAAGACAAAAAAGAGCTTTTCTTTCTGACTAATCTTCAGATTTCCCCCGCGTTCTCTGGCCGGAACCGGTCGATGAATAGCTTGGCAGGCTCTGCAAATTACAAGGATTGTCGGGATTTCTTATGTGACCTACAGTGGCGGACTGATTCAGTGGCAAAAAACTTCTCATTTTGCATCCGGAAAGTCAAAAAAATGTGGCAAATTATCTCCTTCTCCAAGTGAAAAAAGCCCTAATTTTAAAAGCGCGCCCGCTTTTTTCGTAAGGGAAAGAGTGCGCCTTTCAAAACGGAGATTTTTTAGTTTGAGAGGGAGGCATTTTGCTATATTCTTTCATCCTTTCGGGGTATAAAGTGGTACTGTTTTTGCCACTAGATCAGGTCCGTCACTGTATGTTAGACGTTTTTGGGCCAAATTTGACCATTTTCGATACGTAAAAATGCTCATTATTTTTCCAACAGACTGATAAATCACTTCAGATCTTTTTCAAATTTTGCACAAAGCCGTCTAACATAGGTCACATAAGAAATCCCGAAAATTCTTGCTCGTACCTTGTAGAGGCTGCCAAGTTATTCAACGACCGTTTCCGGCCAAAGAGCGCGGAAAAGTTGGAGATTGGTCAGGAAGAAAAGCTCTTTTTTTTGTCCCGTGACAACTTCCGGTTACAATTTCCCACGATTCCAGCAAAGTTCTTGGAAAATTTCATGCGACAGATTTTGCGAAAATTCGACAGGATGCTCATTATTTTCCCGACAGACTAACAAGAACTTGTCTGGGAAATCAATGATTTTTTTCAATTCAAATTGTCGATTTCTGGCTCAATTTCTAGGCGGTACCGTGTTCATCTACCTGTTCCTCAATCGAAGTATGAGGAATGAGATTCGCAACACCTTCCTGCCCAAATGTTTGACAAAACGAAAGGCCGTGACCACCACCACTACACCTTACAAGACCACACCCAATGTGAATATGACATTTTCGAGCAAAGACACAAACACCATGGGATCGGCTGTTATGTTCTAGCCCTCTTCTTTTCCACTTTTTTCTTCATTTTGTCTCAAAAAATCTCATTTTTAAACCCTTGCTATATCAAATGCACCCCCTTGTACACATCGCAATAAGATTTGAACTACTAAAGCAATATTTTCGTCTCTATTTTTACCATTTTTGTCATTTGAATCCGTCAATTTTACGTGTTTTAGTTCAATATGCATGTATATATTGTACGTACTTCCCGTGTGGAATATTCAATGTTGAACTGAATTTAATGGCGCGGGGATAAAACGATGGGACCAGGGTTGAATAAACAGAGTATATATTCTTCTATGCGGAAGCTTTTGGTGTGGTAGTGACATGATGTGATTCAGGAGATCGTCAAGTCGGTGAGATTGGAAGAATCGACCAATCGTTTGCTGTTTGTAAAGTAAATGGGGCTGAGGTAGTACAAACCCCCAATCCAGTTCATGATCCAGTACACACCCCATCATCCAATCTGAAACTTCCGAAAGCTTCAATGAAAGCTTCATGAGAAGGGATGTTGTAGCCGGCTTTGGACAACGGTTTCCTCTAAAATGTTGGGGGGGGGGGCTGATCTGAACTCGGAAAGCCCCAAGTAAATGTCAAATAACATCCTATCAGACTGTCGAGGAAATAATGAGCACTACGTTGACGCGACCGGCGTTATTTTCCCGACAAACTAAGATCTCGGCCTTCCTTGAAAAGCGCGTGCTCAGACTTTTAGGAATTGATCCTTGACCCAAGTTGAGCGTGGGTACAGTGTTCAAAAAAACTGAGCATCGCATTTAGAGCAGTTCGCCGGATCGGCGAGAAAATGAATTGTGTCGCGGCAAAATCAAATTGCTTTTCCTGCATTTTTTTCAGCAAAGAACTCACAGAGAAAGTCTCATCAAAATCTAGGCGTGACGCTGTGCCGATCACGTCGCTGAAGCGAAAAACAATTTGATTTTGCCCCAATACAATTCACTTTTCCGGCAGCGATCCGATTTTCGACGTGACAGAACGCTCACTATTTTCCCGACAGACGCTGTTTCGTGATGAATTCGTCACAAACGTTACGGTAGAAGCTGTTCTTTGCTTTTGGAGGGCCTCAATGAGCAGCAGGCGGATTACTAATTGAAAGGATAAACAACATTTGCCGATGACCCGGAACGGAGGTCATGTGGGTGAGGAAATTCGGGCTAATTTTGGAACATTACTGGGCTACCGCGTCCTGGGAAGAGGGCCCGGAAGAAAAAGTTTTTGCACTATTGTTAAAGTGCAAAGTGTGAAACGTAATAAAAATGATGCCACTTTAAGAATTTTCAAAATTTAAAAGTTCATATTGACTTGATATGAGCTTTTCAAAATTGGAAAATTTTAATTTTTCAATTTTGAAAAGTCGCTTAAAAGCGACAAGAATATTTGTTGATAAGCCGCGAAATTATTACTATCACTCTGTCGGGAAAATAATGAGAATAGTGTCGCCGTCGTCGAAAATGAAAACATTGTGTCGCGGCAAAATCAAATTGTTTTCACTTCAGCGACATGATCGGCGTAACGACATAGACATTGTGCTCATTATTTTCCCGACAGCCTGATATAGACCTGTCGCGAAAATAATGTGGATTTGTCGGAGCAAACAATATCTCATCTCGTCGCAATCTCCAGCCGCAGCTAGCCATCGCAGAGCGATGAGGAGGGATTGCCGAGTCCACATAAATTTCCCGACAGACTAAAACGCAAAATCAAATCGTTTCTCACTTCAGCGACGTGATTGGAAAAAACACATCAACATTTTGCTCATTATTTTCCCGACAGTCTCATACAAACCTGTCGGGAAAATAATGTGGATTTGTCGCAGCGAAAATAATGTGGATATATCGCCTCGTCGCAGTCGGGCCTCCAACCTATTGCAAAGCGTGTCGAGTCTTCATTATTTTCCCGACATATATAATTTCAGTCTGTCGGGAAAATAACGTGGATTCTTTGCGCCTTGGAATCTCCGATCATCGCTTTGCGATCGATTTGAAAATTAGCACAACTTGTTAATACATATGTCTTTCTATTTCTGGAACTACAAGTCAGACAAAGAAATTACCAAGTCATATATGACTTGAACCCGCGTCGTTAAAGTTGATTGCCCACCCTACAACGGTTAATAACACCGTCGTTCATTCGGATTGCGAAATGAACCCGCGCTAAAGTGCGCGGCGAATTTGCGAAGGTTGTCATTATGTATAGGATATAAAGTGGCAAGAAGTGGGGGTTCTTTGAGATTCTCGAAGTTTCAACAGTTGTAAGAGCAATACTTGGAATTCAAGGAGAAACCGGTTCAAATATGACGCGTAGATGTTTTTTGGACATTAGAAAAGGTGTCTGCAAGAGGTGGGCGAGGTTTTTGGATCTTGCTTACTATTTGCGTACAGCGACAATTGAATCGCTACGGATTTTGTTTAGGTAAGCGAAACAAATAAAACAAAAAAAGGCCAAAAAATCTCGGGCATTTCTGCCAATCGCAAGCTAGAAATATCGCATATACCTCGGAAAACATTCAACAAAGAGCACCGTGAATTTTGCTTGTTGTCATGCGACAAGTTTTTTGCGAGGGGTCACGGTGCAAACAAAAGACTTTTTGGATCCAGTTTCAATTCCTAAAAAAATTTACTTGGAGATCGGTCAGATAGAAAAATTGTTTTTGGCCATATTTTTGATACATCGTTTCTTGCGGAAAAGGAACAGTACGGTAAACGCGGAGCGGCCAGAAAGAACAGCACTTTTTTGGCCATAACCAGAGGTTTCCACGGCTCCGGAGCCGGATATTTTTGGTGCGACTCCGAGCCCAAAGTCTGAGCCAGGCTTCAGCGTTCAGAAAAGTAAAAATTTCATGATCTAAATTGCTTGAAAATTACTGGAAAGGATGTGTTTCACACGATTTGGCTGCAAAAACGATGGGTGAATATTTTTATTTTCGGAAAAATATTTTTAAAAAATTTTTAGCATGGGAGCCGGGATTCGGAGCCGGAGGCCTTTTTAAAATTTTCATGGGAGCCAGGAGCCGGAGCTGCAAATTTGGTCCCGGCTCCTGCTCTGGGAGCTAAGAGCCGGAGCCGTAGCCGAAATTTTGACCGTGGAAATCTCTGGCCATAACTTTGCTAGTTTCGTTTGGAAAAAATTGAAATTTTTGTGGACACATTACCATATACGGTAAAAATAGGCATGAAACTTTTCACTCGAAAATTCGCAAAAAATATCACATTTTTTTCAAATTTTCGGTTAAAAAACTTGGTAATTTCTCCAAAGCGCAAGGTAAGACTGGCATATTTCTTAAAAAAAGATCATTCTAAATTTATGCAAAGTTTTATCAAGATCACTTGGCGTACTTCTCCTGTTCGCCACAACCCCACCCTTTATTCTACGATACAAACGGCACACCAATCCTCTCGTACTCGTTAGTCATAATCCCGACTTTGTTTATATCAATTTCCCTTACTGATGCGAGATTGAGCTGCTTAGCCAATGGCATCGTAGCCCAAATGCAATTAGCGCAAGCCAGATTAACGAAGGTCTTAGAACGTGGAGCAGACTTTAGTGGTCATCCTGTTGTCCTACTCACACAGAAATCTCTTTTTTTTGTTTTTTGAGACCAAGTGTTGGTCTGCAAGTGTTGTTGTTGTCTCTTTCGACGAATTTCAAGATTTTCACGAGTCATTGTCGGGGAAGAATTGTGGCAAGTATAGACATGGCTCGTCGGCCGGCCCGGGCCGAAAATCTCGGCCCGGCCCGTCGGCCTGAAGGGTTCCGGCCGGCCCGTTTCAAATTTTCCGTCGGCCCGGCCCGGCCCGTTCCAAATTTGCTTCGGCCCGGCCCGGGCCGGCCCATTGAAACGAAAGTCGCCCCAAGTCTAACTCCTTATGACCAAATTTTTTTCTATCATCATGTAAATGGATAAATACTGTGTTCCATAACTATCTAAAAACAAAAATACCTTTAAAAAAACCAATTGTGTCTTGACATTTCGTTTATTTTCATTATCAAACCCAATTTTCGCTTCGAGATTCCGGATTTTAACTGTTCCGGGCCGGGCCGGGCCGAAACGCCGGCCCGGCCGACGGGCCGGAAATGGTCCGGCCGGCCCGGCCGACTTGAAATCCGGCCGACGGGCCGAAATTTCGGCCCGTCCGCGGCCCGGGAGCCATGTCTAGGCAAGTACAAGGCCTTCCGGGAAGTTGCCGGGCTGGAGTCGATTGTAAACAAAACTTTGCACTGTGAAATTTTTTCGTTTTTGCACCGTGCAATAGGTTTTTCTCGGCTGTCGCTCGCACCCTGACTTTTTTCGCAAGGTGCAAACACCAAAAATCAGTCCGGCGACTTTCCGGGAGGACAATTATTTTTTTTTTCAAAAGTGCGTCGACTTTTTGTCGTGGGCCGCTGCAAAATGTTTCAAAAAGGATCGCACGTCAAACTGAGGGGTCCGGTGACCGGAATAGACTCTTCGCTATCGGTTTTTACACTTCGTTTTGATTTCCAGAGAAAGAGGGAAAAAAGACACGCAAAAGCGTACTCTCTCGCCCTAAAAATTCCCCATTTCTTCCACGACTTTTTTCGCGTCTTTTTTTGGCAGATTGCCTATCCGTTCACCGGACTTTTTTAGCTTATCTCAGTTTGACGTGGATCGTGTCGTTCGGAGACCGGGAAACTTGCACGTGTGCGGTGCGAAAAAAGGCTGAAGAAAATCTACGCACTTTCTGGGACGACTAGTACAGGGCACGTCAAACTGAGATAAGCTAAAACAGTCCGGTGAATGGATTGGAAATTTGCCAAAAAGACGCGAAAAAACGTTTTGTCGGGGAAGAAATGTGGAATTTTTGGGGCGAGAGAGTATGTTTTTGCGTGTCTTTTTTCTCTCTTTCTCTGCGAAATAGACGAAGTGTAAAAACCGATAGCGAAGACTCTATGTCACCGGACTCCTCAGTTTGACGTGGATCGCGTCCTTCGGAGACCGGGAAACTTGCACGTGTGCGGTG